TCCAGTTTAAGGCTTGGCTACAGTGGAGAGCTGGGAGCTTGTCAAAGTAAGAGGAAAAAGCATGTTCCATGGAATACAGGTAACTTTCCTTTCGAGGCTGGTTCACAGCCTCTGGTTTCTCCAGCTGCTGCCCCAGGGAAGCCAAAGCACTTTTCAAGCTCAAGAGAAGTTGCAACCACTCAAGGAAAAGTTTGGTGGTTGCAGGAGGTGGGTTAGAGGCTGAACTTGAGCCCAGGGCAGAGAAGCAAGAGCCCTTTCAGCAGGTTTGCTCCGTGCTCTGCTTGAAAGCTTCCCAAGCTCCGTGTGAAGGGAGGGAACACGGCTGTAACAGGTCTCCTTGGCTTAGTTTGGGAACACCCTTGGGTATAAAAGCTCCGTCTGTGGTTCTCTCTTGCAGTGCATCTGATCTACGGGCCCCTGGACCCCGTGAATCCGCACCCAGAGTTTCTTCAGCTCTACAGGTAAGACAGCACCTGCCACAAACTGGGGTTTCATTTTGACGAGATCGTCTCAGACTTTTCCTCCAATTCCCTTTTCATGGAGGCTGTTTTTAATTCCCACCTGTAACCTACGCAGCCAGGTGATTCAGTTGGAGCCTTCTGCAATTTGGAAATCACTTCCCCATTTTAGGCCTCAAAGTCACAATTCTCAGTCAAATCAATCACCCATTTTAAAACCGCATCAGCTAGAGGCAAGATTTCATCGACTGAGGTAGGCCTCCCCTCCAAACTAACCTGAAGTAACTCCAGCACTTGGAAGAGTCGTCAGCCGTAGCTGCTACAGGCTTTTTTGTCCCAAAACCGTATTATGGGCAAGAGGGTATGGTCCTCCTCACCGGTAGCGTGTCTGGCTGCGGGCTGAGCCTGCTGCAGTTCCTGCGCTTAAGCCTTGCCGCGTTCTTCCAACAGGAAGGTGCTTCCCATGTCGACAGTGTCTGTGCTGGACGATCACATTAGCCACTATCCACAGCTGGAGGATCCGACAGGCTTCCTGAACGCGTATCTGAACTTCATCAACTCTTTCTGAGCTGCTGCAGCTCAGTTCTCGCTCTCTGTTTAGGAGTCGGGCTTTGGGGGCAGGAAGAAACCTTGATTTTTGTCTCCAGATCCAACACTTTGCACTAACACCCTAATCTTCGGCTGCCAAACTGCTGTGTTTATGCAGTTAAATCCTTTGAACAGCAGACGGGATCAACCTGCAGGGAGGCAGGGACAAAACTCGCAACCTAAGCAGAGTTACAGCTCTTCCAGCCCTGCGCTCACCTTGCTTCTTGACCAGCCTATCTCTGTACTTACACCGAGAGCCAGGAGGGCTCAAGGCAGAGCAGGGGCACTCAGGGGGAGGCAGAACACCTACAAACACCTGTGTTAGTTCAAGAGTCCTTACTTGCCTCCACAGCTAGGCTACGCTGCGTGCCACAGGCAGGCAGGAGCACTAGCAGCCAAGGGTTGATGCGCATATTCCCAAGATGGACGTTGGTTTGGGGTTGGTTTTTTTTTTTTTTGAGTTGCTGCACAGGCAGTTTAAATTCTATCCTTCTGCTAAGTGGTGTAATACCCAGCCAGCTTGGCAGGACCGAAGAATTTGAAGGTGAGTTTGCCAACACTAAATACAGCAGGAGAGCTGGATCTGTAAATCCCCTAAAGTCTAGGCAATGATGCTCTGCACCCATAAAGGGGTGTTTAAGCATTGTAATTATCATAGAACTGTTTGGGTTGGAAAAGCCCTTTAAGCTCCCCCAGCCCAACTGCCCCCCTACCCCTGCCATCCCACCCCCAAACCCTGGCCCTCAGCACCGCCTCTGCCCGGCTGTTAAATCCCCCC